ACGCCATGAAGGAGGAAATTCTCCAGACGTCCATATTTTGTCAAAGATATCTAAAAGTGTCATCAGACACGGTTCCGTAAAGATGTTTCAGTAGCTGGTAATGTATATTGTCATCACCCGCTGCAGTGTCATGAGCTTGCTCAAGAGCAGTATGTAGCTCATGTAATGAAAACACTTCATTATAATCTTCACCGTTATGCGAGTCAAAATTAAGTTTCGTCTTTTCCTGTTGTTTCTGATATCTCTGAAACTCAGGGACATAATTGCCGATGATGAATTTTTGGCAAGAGTTTCGCCAATTTTATTTGCAATGTTGCATTTGTCAGTTATTAAATTGTCACCATCTTTAAGATGATGAACAGCAGATTTGGAGCCTTTGCCTTTTATTCTCTGAACCATGTTCCACACCTTAGACATTGGCGTGCGTGAATTAATATTGGAGACATATTTCCTCCAAGATTGTCGTTTGTTTTGTTTGAAGGTACGACGTGCCTTTGCATTGAGTATTTTGAATTTATTTAAATTATGGACCGTTGGATGGTGGCGGAAATAATGTTCTGCCTTCTTCCTCGCTTTTCTGGCTTGTCTACAGTCTGTATTAAACCATGGTTTCCGTACATGTGGAGTTGTAGAGGATTTCGGTATACACTCGTCAGCTATTTCATTTAAAACGTCAGCAAAAATCTGAATGGGATCAGTTATATCACTGAAACATTCAGGTCGCAATTAGATTTACATAAAAGTTGATATAAAGACCAGTTAAGCCTTCGAAAAGTTCCATCTTGTATACGATGGAAAATCAGATGGAGTTATTTCTGAAAGGATAGTTGGAAAATGATCGCTTCCACAAAGGTCACTGTGGACAGACCAATCAAATTGATTGAATATGTTAGAATCTGCAAGAGACAAATCCAGAAGAGTAAGTGCCAGTTGCAGGATGTAGATAAGTATTTGAATCATCATTATATATGCACAAGTCATTATTAGAAATGAAATCTTCTAGTATTTTACCTTTAGTATTAGTGTTGTTACTACCCCAGAGGGGGTTGTGACCGTTAAGGTCACCCATAATAACACAGGGCTTCGGAAGTTGATCATAGAGTGACTGAAGTTCAGTCTGCTGAATTGCAGAGGAAGGTGAAATATACAGAGAGCATAATGTAAATGCTACACCCAGAGTAAGTCTCACTGCAACAGCTTGAAGATTAGTTTTAAGTACAACAGGACTGTGAATAACATCTTGTCGCACAAGAATAGAAGATCCTCCAGTGGCCCTATCACCCAGAGGAGAAAAATAATGATAGGCATTGAACTGGCGTAAAGTAAAAGTATCTGTCTGTTTCAGATATGTTTCTTGCAGACAGAATGCTGATGGTGTTAAATCCTGGACTAATAGCTGTAGTTCGTTAAATTTGTCCGTAGTCCTCTACAGTTCCACTGCACGATAGTAGTAAAATGATCTATCTTTTAGGTGGATTGATAGGGGACCTACCCCTCACCTTTTTTGGATGGCGACAAGCTATGTGCCCTGGGATGGATGTTCTCTGACACATCCATCTCCTCGAGTGAACCATATTTATTGAATAAGTTTATTGGATTTTCTGAACCCTTGGGTGGTCTGCCACTCGTTTTCCCAGTTCCCCTTCTCGGTTTGCCAGTACTTTGTGACTTCGAACTTGTTTCAGAACGAGTCTGATCTGTAGATTGTGACACTGTGCGTTCTTCATCCTGAACTGTAGATATCATCATAGTGTTAACACTTGCGTCTGAAGTCTGAGTAGATTGCTCAGGTGTGAGAAGTGTAGGGTTATCAGTTTTAACCCAAGTCAGGTCTGTTTGACATTGAATTGACAAAGTGGATACTTTAGGCATGGTTTCGGAAGGTAACCTGACGACTGATGCATAAGTTTCGTTAGGTAGTGTTGATTCCACAATCTTTTTAGCATCAGTAAAGCTAATGTTTTGAGTAAATTTAACTTTGTTTATTTCCATTTGCTTTTGCCACATTTTACAATCCTTGGAAAAGGATGAATGATTGCCTGAACAATTTGTGCATTTTTTAACAGTACTAGTGCAGTCTTCCGTCACATGAGACCTCTCGCTACAATGAGCACACGTCACTGGCTGTGTACAGGTGTTAACACCATGACCATACTTTTGGCATCGAAAACACCTCAATGGATTTGGGATGTAGACTGCAACTGTGATACTACAGTAACCAACTTTAACAGACTGAGGGAGACTTGGAGTTGAGAATGAAAATAGGTATGTGTTGGTCGGAATCAGTTCGTTGTTTTGCGGGTGGTAAATCGTTTGACATATGTCACACCCTGATCCTTCATTTCCGATACAATGTCCAGTTCTGACATGTCAGCTAACAAACGGTCTCTGTCTCTTATAATGCCTTTGCAGGTGTTCAAGGTTCTATGGGCAGTGACTGAAACAGGGATGCCAGCAAACATTTTCATTGTCAATAGGTTAGATGCCTGCTGTTTTCTACTGCACTCAATCAGTAGAGAGCCTGAACGTAAGCGTTTGATGTTCCTAACGTCGCCTGCAATGCCATATATCCCCTTAGAAATAATAAAAGGGTTCAACTTGAGTGGAGTCTTGTCAACAGTGTCAAGAACTAGGAAACGTGGCCTATTTTCTGTTAGCGTGGATTCATTCTCTTCATTGTCATTGTCATTGTCTAGTTGTCGTTTGGTCTTTTTCGAGGGAGTTTGGTAAGCCATGTTGAGTTAGTAATTGTTTCATCATCCGAGCTCCCCACCCACCACGGAGTATCATAAAGACAGTGCTAATAACAAGTGGGTCTCCGACTTGCAGCACCAGGGATACCCAGATGACATACTCAAGCAGAAAAAATGAAAAATCAATTATTCTACCAGATTGGCCCATGAGCCACCGCCTTCTGGCACCAGCATCTAGGCAAAATTTCACAAATTTGAAAATCCATATATCACATATTAGATACACAAAACAAAACATGTCAATACTGTGTCTAAATAAAACCAAGCCAAATAATATTAGAGCAATGAAATTTAGTGCTCAGGGCTCGGCGTGACCAGCCGATTGGTTGAACCGGGCCCATTCAACCACCCGTCTAGGTGAAGTAAGGGGCGAAGTGGTGTGTTGGGCAAAGGAACACTGTTCCTGGAACCAGTGCCCTCAACCACCAGCCTCCCGTCCTCCACCGACACAGGGGCGCAACCCACGGCAAACGGGTTGGTGGACCAAATATCCCCCCGGGTCCACAACGGGGGGTTGAAGGGCGCTTAGCGTGACCCAGCACCCACCACGAGGAGGTGGCCCTTCATGGGTGCCCGGAACTGTTTTGATGGGGTTTGAAAAGTCTAGGTTATCTCATCGTGAAGTTGTGCCTGAAAGATTTGATGGAATATCATGTGATTGGCAGGATTTTATTGTTCATTTTGAACAAGTAGATTCATGGAATGAGTGGACAGAATATGAAAAGGCTCAACAACTTAGTATGTGTTTGAGAGGTGCAGCACAAAAAGCTTTTGAGTAGTCTTACGTTAGGGCAACTCAGCAGTTATCAGGCAGTGAAAAATGCTTTGAGTCAACGTTTTAATCCGGTTGAGCGGAATGTAGCCTACAGAAGTGAATTTCGAAATCGTCGTCAAGGTCGCGACGAGGCCGTACTGGATTATCGGTTTGAACTCCGTAGACTAGCAAATTTAGCTTACCCTACCAGCACCACTTCATCACTAGAGGTACATTTGATTGATCAGTTCTTAACTGGCCTGCATAGCTTTGACATGAGAAAACATGTTACATTTGCACATCCACAAACGCTGGAAAACGCCATTTCATATGCCATGGAGTTCTAAAGCTGTTGACGGTAGCAGGAAAAAGAAACCTGAAAGTTTAGACAGGGTGGCAGGAGTGAACCAAACTAGGCAACCACTTGATAGTGGTGGGTTGACACTGGAGGCAGTCACAAAGTTAATAGATGATCGCTTGGAAAAGTTTAAACGTAGCTTAAGAAGTGCCAGGCCTAATACCTGCTATGTCTGCAATCAATCAGGTCACTTTAGCGATAGGTGTCCATACTTATCAAAACTGGGTTTGCTTGATCGGTCAGATATCAAGGAAACAGATATGGGAAACTAGTAAAGGCTGGGGTCGAGGCCGAGGTCTCAGCCGATGTTGGGAAAATTTGTAGGCCAGATGAAGATGTAGCTTCTGTGGAAAAAACTGTTTTTACTGTTGATATCGGAGTGCAGGTAGATTTACCTTCGTGGATGGGGAATAGTGTTGATCCCTTGGTGAAGCAATCTGTACTCAACGGTGATGGGTTAGAGGAAAAATTATTTTTATCTGGTGAAGGGAAACTGATGAAGTCATCTTCGTCAACTTGCTCCAGTGAATCAGTTTCACGGGAACAAATTGTTTTACATTCTTTAAAACCTCAGAAATGTTTGTATACAGATGTTTTGGTGAACGGGCTTACCTCTAGAATGTTGTTGGATACAGGGTCTCCTGTCTCAATTATGTCACAAGATGATGTTCTTAAACTGGGTTTTCAGAGCATTAGTTTGAAGAAAGTTCACAAGGATTTCTTTACGGCCAATGGTATGCCTATAGTTGTCCATGGTTCTGCTTGTTTTGAGTTTTGTGTTGGAAGTGTGACGTTTCAACAAGAGTTTGTCGTTGCAGACTTGGGTACCATGGGTAGTATTCTTGGCATGGATTTCCTAGAGGATTATGATGGTGAGGTACATGTGAGACGACAGACACTGTCTACATCTAGAGGTAAACTCAAGTTGTACAAACTGAACAAAGGTAGTTGTGCGCGGGTTAGAATTGTTGACAAGGTTGTTGTTCCCCAGAATTCGGAGAAATTAATCAAATGCACTGTTGAGGGTTCATTTGGTACTGAATTGGGGTTGGTTGAGCCAAATAAATATTGGCGAAGCAAAGGAATTTTTGTGGCTAGAAGTCTTGTCCAGCCTGATAAGGATGTTGTAGTAATTTCAGTGCTGAACCTGAACAGCAAGAAAGTGTCCATAAACAGTTCATCCGTACTGGCTACAGTTAGCAGAGTAGATCAGGTTGTAGCTTGTGATGATGTTGCCACAGATGCACAAAGTTTGGACTTACCGAGTCACTTGCAGTCACTAGTTGATCGATGTTCCTCTGGTCTTTCGGATATTCAAAAGCAGTCCGTTTCTGATTTGGTTGGAGAATTTCAGGATCTTTTTGTGGGTGAAGATGGTTTGTTAGGACAGACAGATGAGATTACTCACACTATCAATACTGGTGATGCGACTCCTATCAAACTACCTGCCAGAAGGATCCCTTTGGCTAAGAAACAGTTAGTGGAAAATGAAATTGACAAGATGTTACAACAAAATATTATTGAACCTAGTAGTAGCCCTTGGACTGCTCCTGTTTGCTTAGTAACTAAGCGTGACGGATCCTGCAGATTTTGCATTGATTTTAGAAAAATGAATGAGGTGACCTTGAGGGACGCCTATCCTTTGCCGAGGATAGAGGAAACTCTGGAAACATTGGGTGGTTGTCAATGGTTTAGTACCCTGGATTTAGCCAGCGGGTATTGGCAAGTAAAAATGGATCCAAGAGACAAACACAAAACTGCTTTTGTTACTCATGTAGGACTCCATCAGTTCAATGTCATGCCGTTTGGTCTTACTAATGCCCCAGCTACTTTTGAAAGATTGATGGACAGGGTATTGGGAAAGTTGAAGTGGAAGAAGTGTCTATGTGATCCTGGACGATGTTATTGTTTTTGGGTCAGATTTTCATTCTGCATTAAACAATCTTAGGTTGGTTTTCATGTTTAGAGACGCTCTTATCTATTTTTGATGATATTTGGACATCTGGAAAATTTCCTTCGTCGTGGCGCGATGCTATAATTGTGCCCATCCCTAAACCTGGACGTGATTATACTGATCCTTCCAATTATAGACCAATTTCACTGACTAGCTGCGTTTGCAAAACCATGGAACGCATGATCAACAATCAACTTGTTTGGTACTTGGAAACCAATAACCTTATAACTACTATACAATGTGGTTTCAGGAAAAACCGTAGTACCATCGATCAGTTAGTGCGTTTAGAATCTTTTGTGAAAAATGCCATAATTAATAAACAGCATGCAGTGTCGATCTTTTTCGAATTAGAAAAAGCATACGACACGACAAGGAAACATGGGATTTTAAAAGATTTACATGCCTTTGGATTACGAGGCCGTTTGCCTCAATTTATATCCAACTTTTTAAATGACAGGCAATTTCAAGTCCGAGTGGGTTCAACCCTGTCTGACCATTACAATCAGGATCAGGATGTCCCGCAAGGCAGTATTTTGTCTGTGACATTGTTTACTATCAAGATCAACAGTTTATCAAAGGTTTTAAATGATTCAATTGATGGATCACTTTTTGTGGATGATTTTAATATTTCTTGTCGTGGTCAAAATATGCATACCATTGAACAGCAAATGCAGAAGTCTTTAAACAAAATAAATAAATGAAAACGGCTTTAAATTTTCTAAATCCAAAACTAATTGTATACATTTCTGCCGTAAATACAAACCGCATAAAGACCCTGAACTATCTCTAAATGGCACACCCATCAAAGTTGTGAAGGAGGCCAAGTTCTTTGGTCTTATTTTTGATTCACATTTAACTTTTCTGCCACACATTAAGTCACTTAAAGCTAAATGCCTGAAGGCACTTGATCTGTTAAAAGTCGTTTCAAATTCTAAGTGGGGAGGGGACCGAACTACCCTACTACACCTATACAGATCTCTCATCCGTTCGAAACTTGATTACGGCTCCATTGTATACGGTGCAGCCTGTAAAAGCAACCTCAAAATACTTGATTCTATCCATCACCAAGGTCTAAGACTTTGTCTTGGATCTTTTAGAACCTCTCCTATTGACAGTCTTTACGTCGAGGCCGATGAGCCATCTCTTAACCAACGCCGTATAAAATTATCCTTGCAGTATGGTAACTAAACTATATTCTAACGAGTCAAATCCTGCATTTAATTGTGTTTTTAATCCTCTCTATGAGGATTTATACAACAAAAGGTCTTCTCTTGTTCCGCCTCTTGGGCACAGAATTAAGCCATTTATTTCTGCTGCCGGCATTGAGTGGAGAATATAGCTCCTTCCCGTCTTCTTTCTTCTCCTCCTTGGCAGTTGGTTAGGCCACAAGTTGACCTAACATTAACAGCATTTAAAAAAGGAGAAACTAATGAATTACAATATAAACAAGAATATAATCAATTAAAAAGTAAATATAATCCATACAAAACCTTATTTACAGATGGGTCCAAGGATGGTGGCGCAGTTGCTTGTGCCACTGTCATTGGATCCAGAACAATATCTTCTAGAATACCGGATAACAGCTCTATTTTTACAGCCGAAGCAAACGCCATATTAACAGCTCTTAAATATATTCAAAGACACCCTAAACATAAACAATATATCATCTTTTCTGACTCTCTTTCTTGCCTTCAGGCTATAAAAATCTTTCTTGTAAACATCCACTCTTACTAGACATTATCGAATTGTATAATGAGCTTGCTACTGGCCAATACGACATCGTCTTTTGTTGGTTACCCAGCCATGTTGGCATTTCTGGGAATACAATGGCCGATCTTGCTGCCAAGGCAGCACTCAACAAATCTTTGACACCACTTCTTATTCCATACTCTGATTACAAAGCTAGCATTAGAACTTACATCCGCGATCTGATGCAGAAGAAGTGGGACACCCAAGTAGGTATAAATAAATTACATGAAATAAAACCCTATATTGGTTACACCTACTTGGGTTGTCAGTCCAGATTTGAAGAGGTCATCATGCGACGATGTCGTATTGGCCATACAAGGTACACTCACAAATATTTGTTAAAAGGTGAAGATCCTCCGTTTTGTATCCCTTGTGATGAGAGAGTCACAGTCAAGCATCTCCTGCTTGACTGTGTTGAATTCTCCATCATAAGGGATAAATATTTCAATGTTAAAACTGTTAAGGATCTTTTTTAATACTGTTCATCTTCATTTAATTCTTGCTTCTTTAAAAGAAATTGATTTAATTAATGAATTTTGATTAATATGTTCTGTAGATAGATGTGTTTTAATGATTGGCAGTGTAGATTGTGAGCTTAGATTTTTAGTGGCTGTATCCTCAAAGGGGGTTGAAGTATCGTAAAATTATTGTCCTCCTGAGAGGGTACGTAAGTCCAAAAAACTTTCAAAGTAAAATTTTCACGTCCTGTGTTTTAAACGTAGTATTCTTGTCATTTTAATTTGTGCCTAAATTTTCCCTACGTTTCGCCAACAGCTGAAGGGATGGTGTAAATCCAGCTAGGGTCCATGCAGGTAACAAAAGTAATGTAAGTCCCCATGGTTCCTAGTATGGTGATCTACCTTCAGTTGTTGGCGATCTATAGCCCATTTTTACATTGTATTGTCCAGAAATTATTTGCTACTTTTAAAGATATATGCTAGCTAGTTTTAACTCAATCTGTGATAATCTAGTGGTTTTACTGTCCTTCGTTGACAGGGTTTTATATATTATAAGTATGTATTATAAATTTAGAACTAGTTTCAGTCACGATATGGCTGAAATATTGCCGATGTGACTTTAAATCTTAACTCACTCAGTCACTCACTCTTAATTGATGTACCGCTAGAGAAAGTTACATCAAAGCCCACTTTGCTCTTGATTAGTCGGGCTATCTGATGGCTGACTGGTCCCACGTAGGGAATGGTGATCCTGATTGGGGATGGTTCAGGCTTGAGGCGCGGTTCTGATGATTCAAGCGTTTTGGTGATAGTCCTGGAGACAAGACGGGCTGGGTAGCCATTGAGGGCAGTAAAGGTTCTCTTGAGGTAATCAATTTCACTGTTTAAATTATCTGGGTGACAGATCAACTTGGCTCTTCTAGTGAGAGTAGCAATAATTGCTTGTTTGATCTGTGGGTGGTGACAGGAGTTGTAATTGATATACTGATCCGTGTGAGATGGCTTCCTGTACACAGAAGTGACGAGACCTTTGTCTGTAGATTGGAGGGCAACATCTAGGAAAGGAAGTTGCCGGTTCTGCTCAGTCTCCATTGTGAACTTTATCCTCGGATGCTGGTTGTTGACGTGCTGCAGTAGCTGTGCTGGGTCATCTTGCTTGTCTATGGTTGTGAACGTGTCATCTACCTTGCGATACCAGCACAAGGTTGAAAGGGTGCTGTGGAGAGAGAGCAGATTCTTCAAAGGAGGTCATATATATTTCAATGATAAGCGGTGACAATGGCGAGCCCATAGGTACGCCATGTATCTGTCTATATATATTGTTATTAAATATGAAATAAGAGAAATCAAAACAGGTTGTAGCAAGGTTAATGATGCTATTTATCGTGAGACTGGTATCAAGTTCTTCCATTCGAGTCTGGAGCTTGTTCCGGAGAATTTCCAGGGCTTCTTGCAAAGGGATGTTAGTGAAAAGGTCAACTACATCATAGCTGACCATGGTACCGGAAAGATGATCTTCTTTCAACTTGCTTATACAGGCCGATGAATCGCTGATGAATGCCTTCTATTCTTTACCTAAGGGTGCCAGGATGCGTGAGAGGTGCTGCACAGTGCTGTAAAAGACGGATCCTCGTGAACAGACAAGTACCCTGGCTTTTGGTCGGTTCTTGTGTATTTTTATGGTTGCTCTACCATATGGAGCTTGAGAATTGATAGGATTGAGCTTATTAAAGACAATATCGTTCATCTCTCTGTTTTCGTGGAGGTCTTTAACTCATTGAGGCCGAGAGACGCATATATGGGGCAAATTAATCAGCTCCTCACAGCGAGTGACGTGTTTATGGGGCAGGTAATTAGCAGTTTCTCACAGCGAGAGCCACATACAGTCGTCAACAGAAAGCACCTCTTATTCAGCGAGAGACGCACATGTGTGTTGTACTTTTAAAAATCGCACTGTACCTATTATTTCAACCAATTTAGCAGTACTGAGCAAATGTTAGCTTTTCTTACGAGAGACCCCACCTTTAGTATCAATCAGAAGAAGTATTTAAAGTGTTTTGATAACAATTGCTAATCATTATCATAGGCTTGTACAGCGTTTAGCAAATGAACGCATGTCGGCGAGAAAGGGGATTACGGTGTTTTTACAGAGGTAAGTGCCTGGTACTCTTCCTTGGGAATGGATACTAAAATACTTCGTATGCACCTTGATTGTATCAGATGTAATGGTTTAGAGGTTACTTAAAATTATATTTCCTTCAACTACCTAATAAATAGGAAACAATATACGAAATTTCAAGGACATACAAAGAATTCAAACACAATAGAATAGTTTGAATTTACTTTTTAGGCATCTTTACGTTGTCATGTTTCATATACTGAAACATAATGTATAAACACAAGTAATTATACATCTAAGCTCGAATAGATTAAACATAATTGAACTTACTAATTTGAAGTTTACTGAATTGTAACTAGTTGTTTTCCATAATCTAAAGTTCGCAATGTTACCTAAACGAATATAAAGTGATAAGTCGCGCCTTTGCATCGAATACATATATACATGTCAGTGTTATTACAACAATGAAATGTTTTACTACGTTTGTTACAAAAGGCAGTAAGTTGGTAATTCAAAACATTGTCACACATGGACAGAAGTAATATCATAAGTTATTACATGTGAGCCATACAAAGGTATTTCAAGCATTTTTTGTTCAAGCTGTTGAAAGTTTCATGTTGATTTGAATTGTCAGTTTTCTATGCAATTTACATGAGCATTCTGTAAAACGTTTGTATTTGATCTGTGTAATTATCAAATCCGGTGCAATTATCACGTGTATCAATCAACTCAGTCTCTATTGATCCATCGTCTATAAAAGCTGGATAGTATATCAGTTACGGTATCGATACACATGCGTATAATCATTCAAGCAGATTACAGTAATGAGATAACAGCCTCCGGTAGAATGCATATGTAGTTACGTCCTTGTTGAAAGGTTTGTCCCGTGACAAGTGTAAAATAAACAGATGCGCTGTTATATCATTGGACATCTTGCTTTATGGAGTCACGCCCCTCTCTGTGATGTTTATACATGCATGCACATCTGTAATCTTATGAACCTCGTTTGCATTCAGTAAAGATATAGGCACGCCCACCTTCATAAATATTGGGGGTGGGGGTGTCAACTGCAAGTTTATACACTATAATAATTCAGTATAGTGTCACCTCGTGAATTCTGTAATGCGTGTACTCTAGTTTGGATAGTCATTCGTATCAAGGTGAAGATTATATTTACATGTACAGCAAACCATTATGTTTTATGTACTAGTTGTGTGCATAAAATGTATATGAAAATAAAGACTGCCTCTACTCAGTGGTTGGATTTCAATCGCTTTGTTTTACTTATCGAAAAACACTAAAATGAGGACAAATAAACTGGACAAAGTGACTATCTACTCCTATTTGTCTTATGTGTATATTTCATACATCGTTACCAGTGTGTATGTTTACATTACACAAACTGTTACATGATAGCTTGAGTTGATAAAGCCGAAACCCAGCATATCGACTGGTCAAGGATATAGCCAATAACCAATCTCTATCCAAGCTGCTGAGTGACCAAACGTGCTCTTCAGAAATTTCGCCCACGCCCGTCACTTGTCCTTTCCTCTGTGACAGGTATCTCATGATACGATTGGTCGCAGATAACATATGACCAGCCACTATACTGAACAGTTGAGATACCAGTGTGTATGTTTACAATACACAAACTGTTACATGATAGCTTGAGTTGATAAAGCCGAAACCCAGCATATCGACTGGTCAAGGATATAGCCAATAACCAATCTCTATCCAAGCTGCTGAGTGACCAAACGTGCTCTTCAGAAACTTCGCCCACGCCCCATCACCTGTCCTTTCCTCTGTGACAGGTATCTCATGATACGATTGGTCGCAGATAACATATGACCAGCCACTACATTGAACAGTTGAGATACCGAACGTTCTATTCGGGAAATTTGATGACGCCCTATCACGTGACTCTTTGTTTTATGTCTATGCAAGGAATATGTAGAATACATTTTGTATATGTATGTTTGTATGGTCACGTATGTTTTCTGCATTAAATCTGTATGAAATAAAGTGCAATGCTATGAATGTGCTTTGTGCTAGTCACAGACTAGCGTTATAGTACTTTCATTAAAATAATTCGTAAACACTAGAAATGTATCGGCAAAACCGCTATTTTCGTCGAAGATTATAAAGTATGAAAGTAAATTCTTCTTTACAGTATGTCATTGTCATGGATGTTTTGTAAATTTAAACCTCACACAATGATATAAGAGAAAGAATTTGTTAACGTGTGTCTCATCTGTTACATATATCTTTACGACACAATTAAACAATCAGGACTTGTTTGTACGACTAGACAGCTTCCTGTGATCCCCGAAACCTGCCAGGGAAATCAGGTGTGACTAGCACTAATTAGTCTCGGCACAGAGAGTGGGCAATCAGCGAGGGCTTCCAGGTGTTGAGTAGTGATGGGGCTCTCGGGCTTAATGAGTTAAGGGTCTTCTTATGCTCACGCTCAAGTTTTGCAGTGGGGTCTTTTGTGATGATGAGATAGGTTGAGGTATCAGAAAGGCTCTTGTTTATGAGCTGTTCGAAGTCTTGTGTATCCATGATAACAGCTGCTTTACCTTTATCGGCTTCAGTGATGGTGATTGCTTTATCTTGTCTGAGTTCAGCAATTGCTTGTCGTTCTTGCGCAGAGAGGTTGCGTGGCCTGGGCCCTTTCCTGATGGTGTCTATAATCTGGTGACGTAGGTAATCCACGTTGCCATTCGGTGCAAGTTGTTGGAGACCACTCTCTATGCTTGTGATGAAAGCATCAGCGTTTATCTTAGCGCTCACGGGTACATAGTTTAATCCTTTAGCAATGATCGAAGTCTGGGCTTCTGTCAGATTATTACTGCTCAAATTCACTACAGTCTTAATGCCAGTCTTAGCACTCGTTTCTTTAGCGTAAAACAGTTATCCAAGCTTCCACAACCAGTACATAAGCACGCTGAAGAAGACTTCGAACAGCTAATAAACAAGAGTCTTTCTGATACCTCAACCTATCTCATCATCACAAAAGACCCCACTGCAAAACTTGAGCGTGAGCATAAGAAGACCCTTAAAGACCTTCACGAAAACGGAGAGATGAACGATATTGTCTTTAATAAGCTCATAGCTCAAGCTCCATATGGTAGAGCAACCATAAAAATACACAAGCACCGACCAAAAGCCAGGGTACTTGTCTGTTCACGAGGATCCGTCTTTTACAGCACTGCGCAGCACCTCTCACGCATCCTGGCACCCTTAGGTAAAGAAGGGAAGGCATTCATCAGCAATCATCGGCCTGTATAAGCAAGTTGAAAGAAGATCATCTTTCCGGTACCATGATCAGCTATGATGTAGTTGACCTTTTCACTAACATCTCTTTGCAAGAAGCCTGGAAATTCTCCGGAACAAGCTCCAGACTCGAATGGAAGAACTTGATACCAGTCTCACGATAAATAGCATCATTAACCTTGCTACAACCTGTTTTGATTTCTCTTATTTCATATTTAATGACAATATATATAGACAGATACATGGCGTACCTATGGGCTCACCATTGTCACCGCTTATCACTGAAATATATATGACCTCCTTTGAAGAATCTGCTCTCTCCACAGCACCCTTTCAACCTTTGTGCTGGTATCGCAAAGTAGATGATACGTTCACAACCATAGACAAGCAAGATGACCCAGCACAGCTACTGCAGCACGTCAACAACCAGCATCCGAGGATAAAGTTCACAATGGAGACTGAGCAGAACCGGCAACTTCCTTTCCTAGATGTTGCCCTCCAATCTACAGACAAAGGTCTCGTCACTTCTGTGTACAGGAAGCCATCTCACACGGATCAGTATATCAATTACAACTCCTGTCACCACCCACAGATCAAACAAGCAATTATTGCTACTCTCACTAGAAGAGCCAAGTTGATCTGTCACCCAGATAATTTAAACAGTGAAATTGATTACCTCAAGAGAACCTTTACTGCCCTCAATGGCTACCCAGCCCGTCTTGTCTCCAGGACTATCACCAAAACGCTTGAATCATCAGAACCGCGCCTCAAGCCTGAACCATCCCCAATCAGGATCACCATACCCTACGTGGGACCAGTCAGCCATCAGATAGCCCGACTAATCAAGAGCAAAGCGGGCTTTGATGTAACTTTCTCTAGCGGTACAACAATTAAGACACTCCTCCGGGCAAATGGAAGAGGATCTAGCAATAGAAGCCCCAACCCTAGAGGATGTGTATACCAAATACCATGCAGCTGTGGCGATCAATATATTGGCGAGACTCTCAGTCCTATTAACACCCGGGTTGCTGAACACAAGTCGTCAGTATGCAAACAAAATGATAAGTCCGCTATATCGGAGCACAAGGCAAATAACCAAAGTCATGTAATCATGTGGAATGATATCAGGGTGCTTTCGAGAAATGACAACGACTGGCGTCGGAGAAAACTACAGGAGGCTGTGGAGATAAGGAGACATAAACCAGCAATGAATCGTGATCAAGGTGTATACCTGCCAAGTGCGTGGGACCTCTTGATTAACTTTTGATGAACTTTAGATAAAAGTAAAACGAGTCTACTATTCTTTTTGGAAAGCCTGCTATCAAGTAACTTTTGCGTAATTAGCAGTTGTTGTGTATTGACAATTCAACTTTCAACTCTATTATTTAGCATGAATTTTCATCATTATGTAATTAACTCTTCAAACTCACTTATACAGTACTCTCCCTAGTGTACAGTGATGTTACTTGCATTGGGACGTCATAACTCGGTTATGACGTCATAGTGACGACGTCATAGTCCTAACTGCCAGTTCACCTGATGAAGGGACCTGGAATGGTCTCGAAACGTCGTGAGAGAAATTAAAAAGAAGTTTAATCCATAAAAATATCTTGGACAGGCTATATATTGCCAACAACTGAAGGTAGATCACCATACTAGGAACCATGGAAAAATCTATTGGAATCTGTGCTGGAATCCCGTATTGGCGTCATTGGAGATGTCTTACCGTAGTTAGCATCATTCCTTGCAGATCGACAACAATCCGTTATCATAAATGGATATTGTATTGTCCAAATAGTGCTATTAGTTTTAAATTTCCATGCTAGTTTTAGTTGTAATTGTGATATTCTAGTTATTTTACTGTCCTTTGCATACAGGTTTGTATAATAAACACATATTACATTTCAATGTCAAATATGTTGTCGCCACGACATGGCCGAAATATTGCCGATGGGACGTTAAATATTAAATCACTCACTCACAGTCATAAATGGATTCAGTAAAGCTAGGTATGGAGTACTTTTCACTGTATGCACCATCCCTGTAGGAGACATTGCAAGGAAACACTGTCTCAGATTCCAGCTGACACCAAAGCCATTGGTTCCACCTTCAGTTGAGGTCACTTTTGACAGGATTAAAAAAGAATTGCAGATATCAGGCGATGAATGACAAGCAACTTTTTCAAACTAAATGATGATAAAATCCAGTCTCTTGTGATCTTGTCATCCCAAATGAAGTCAATACGGAAAATACCCAACTTGGAAATTGGTGAAGTAACAATCGACCCAAGCCCAAATGTTCAAAACCAGGGTGTGATTTAATACTCAACCTCCAGCATGGACAAGCATGTGAGCAACGTTTGCAAAACTGCATACTATCATATCTGAAGCATTGGAAATATGAACAAAAATGTAGACGGGAATACCGTCAAATGTCCGATCCTTTCTTTGTCCCATTAATAATTGACCACTGCAACCGACCTTAGTACGGAGCACAATATCCACACTGCAAGAGTAACACTTGAGCGAGTACAAAACTGTGCAGACAGACCCATCACCGGGACCAGGGTACAGGAGCACATAACACTTGTGCTGAAAGAACTACACTGGCTTCCAGTGAGACAAATGATAGTCTTCAAACTACTGACGTTTGTCCACAAGTCGCTCAAAATATCATCAGTCTAAATTTCATTTAGTCAAGGTTGAGCCATGAAGCCCCTACCTGGGCCATTTCGGTGGTTGATTGAAATTCCAATTTGTCCAGATAAAAGTTTGATGATGGAATCTCGATCCCAAAATTCAAACGGTAATATTCGTCTAGAGGCATTCGTCATCATATTATCTTTACTACTGGTGCATTTATTTAGGAGATAAACCTACTGTGGGGGAAAATCAGAGGTATATAACGAAATTATAATAGCTCTAAATTTCATTTAAAACCGAACGCGTAGCGTGAGGTTTTAAATGAACAATTTAGAGCTATTATAATTTCGTTATATACCTCTGATTTTCCAACACAGTAGGTTTATCTCCATTCCATGACTATTTTATGAACAATTTCAGTTGGAACTCTTTCTTTGGTTATGAGTCAATACGTGAAGCGGCCTCGCATTCCAATCTCAAGTGGCATCGCCCGAAACGGGGTGATTGGTGGCATACCGTCAATAACTAACAAACTCCAGATTCAGTAATAACAAATCACGTTGTTTTTTTCAATGCATTAATCACCGATCATTAACTGATAAGTTGGAAAACATATATCAAATAAGTTTAAAAAGCTTGGTTCACATTTGAAAATTCCACCGTAGACCCTTTCCCCACCAGAATAATGGCAGCAACCTCATGGCCTTGACCTTTTCTCGGAAGTCATTGTTTACATTTACGTGCAAATTTGGAAAGATGCGACAGGAGAGCCTCTGACAGTTTGCGCAAGGTTAGCCTGATTGTATGACTGAGATAGTCTTTGATATCTAATTACTGGTATACTGGTACAAAATTTAAGAGAAGAGGCGCTTTTGCTGTAACGAGAAGTCCGTGTTGTACCGAATTTAGATACTGTTGAATTTTGCGCCCTGTCAACTTGACGATTTCACGCACCTCTACGTCTGCGTGCGACAGCTGTGGTGACCCTTACACACTCATGTGTGTACTTTGTGCTCAAATTCGATTCTACGGATATTATTTTCTACATTTTGGAAAGTGTTTTGTGACCTAGTGGCTTCAAAGTGTAGTGAATTCAAATTGAATCGGATTCGCTGGCATGTTCGCGAGGCTGTTGACAAAGAGCCAGATTTGTGGTGATATTTCCGAAAGGATGGAACAGGACATGAGGGTGTACCTCTGGCATAAACACGGTAAGGTAATTAATTATACTTTAATAGACTACTTTAGATCAAGCAGTGTAATGGATAAGAGGGATCATGACTAAGCTAAATAACTTTTTCAACGATATTATACTTTTAGAAAAAAATATGTTGGGCTAAACAGAACGGTTTGCAGATTCTGTAATTACTACCGCTAAATTTGAAACAGTACACATTTCAAAATATCATTTTGTTTGAACTGATAACCCAACTGTTTATTTATGTGGACGGAAGGCATTAAAATTTCTTCGGCGTTCGATGTTAATGCATCCTCCGTTACCGGATCAAGATCAGTGGCGATATCGTTGACGAAAGCTGATAATAAATTTAACACGGAAATTATGTAGCAGTCTATTGCTGGATCTATTCTGACATAACATAGAATCAACGTAAACATATTTGTTCTTGCTGATTTTTTATTCGGAAAGCAGACGATGTTTTGATCTTGTTCGACTAAATATTTGTTTCCATGCTTTCGAAGTACTTTTGTATGTATAAACACCTATTGCTGTGATTTACGCCAGTAGTGAGTCGAGCCCGTCATCGCTAAATCCATCTTTAAAGACATATGTGTAATTTCCGACAGCAAAATCGCCGTAATTTATAGATGCATCGGTAGGTTGTTTGGTGTCCGCCATGTTGCTGGGCAGACAAAAATAGTGCATTACCGTAAACCATGTATGATTGCGCACGGAAAATCAGATACATGTATAACGTGATTATATACCTCTGAATGACTTTAAATAACCAATCACCATCCAGTGTTTACTGAAGTCATGGTAGAATATCAATTTAATACTTTTTAAGTCACGATATGGCTGAAATATTGCCGATGTGACTATAAATCTTAACTCACTCACTCACTTTACTACTGGTGAACATTTTGACAGATTCCTCATTTGTCACATACTCAGTGTTATATTCAGAATTCCTCTTTTGGTACACCCATGAGATGAATAGAACATAATTCAGAAATAGACCAAAGAGCAACAACGTTTTTAAACCAACCTTACCGTTAAAAGAAAAAATACATATCTGCACTGCTACCGAATCGCGATCATTTGCTGCATTACATCAACTGAACAGTTGTATAGTTGTATGAGTAGCAACATTGCGGTACCATAAGACAGTATGTTCTTAAAATATCATTAAACACTGCAATATGATGTCTGAAAACAAGTCGAAGTAACATCGCGAAAGAATAGTGTGAGAGCCTTGGAAAATGGTAACTCCACACATCACATTCATTTAAAAGGAATGGTCAAATGGGTATTTTCTAATTATTCATTAATACTCACTTCCATAGTACTGCCATCCAGTTTCAACTGTGCCGTCACTGGTCGAGCCAAAGGCTTCAGTGTATACTCTGCACTTCCTTGTGAGTGGATTGTACAAGACTACGTTACACAACTCCCGCCGGTGACACAAAGGGAAACATTCAGCCCTCATGTCCACCTGGTTCATCTCTTCTATCAGACTCCTGGTGAACACCAGATTATCCATCTCAGGCCTCCTATAGAATGCCATCTTCTTACAAGTGTCCGTATTGTTGAGTGACTGAGATAAAACTAATTGAAACTTGACTGCTAATAACAACATGTTAGCTGTTTGAAATACGATCATGGTGGTACTTGTTGAAGAGAGCATTGTTTACTGATCAAGACTAGTGTTAAGCGAATGCTTTATCCAGTGAAACACATCTCCTGGCCTGTCATAGGCGGTTCTGTGAGATTAACAAAATATTTTAAAATGATAGGGAATAACCGTTATTGTTTCTTAATTGAATCACGTGCACTTATTCCAAGTCTAAAGGCATTAAATTAAATGTGCCATAAGCACTCTCTGTCTGAGAAATTGATTGTGCGTAGCACACTGGCGTGTCTTTACTTTACATCCTGTGGATAAGTATACAACGTTCACAGCAACAGCCCACAGTTCATACACATGTCTTGTAGAAGCAGCGTCTTGTACACAACGTTCACAGCAACAGTCCACAGTGCATACACATGTCTTGTAGAAGCAGCGCTTTGTACACAACGTTCACAGCAACAGTCCACAGTCCATACACATGTCTTGTAGAAGCAGCGTCTTGTACACAACGTTCACAGCAACAGTCCACAGTCCATACACATGTCTTGTAGAAGCAGCGCTTTGTACACAACGTTCACAGCAACAGTCCACAGTCCATACACATGTCTTGTAGAAGCAGCGTCTTGTACACAACGTTCACAGCAACAGTCCACAGTGCATACACATGTCTTGTAGAAGCAGCGTCTTGTACACAACGTTCACAGCAACAGTCCACAGTGCATACACATGTCTTGTAGAAGCAGCGTCTTGTACACAACGTTCACAGCAACAGTCCACAGTCCATACACATGTCTTGTAGAAGCAGCGTCTTGTACACAACGTTCACAGCAACAGTCCACAGTGCATACACATGTCTTGTAGAAGCAGCGTCTTGTACACAACGTTCACAGCGACAGTCCACAGTGCATACACATGTCTTGTAGAAGCAGCGTCTTGTACACAACGTTCACAGCAACAGTCCACAGTCCATACACATGTCTTGTAGAAGCAGCGTCTTGTACACAACGTTTACAGCAACAGTCCACAGTCCATACACATGTCTTGTAGAAGCAGCGTCTTGTACACAACGTTCACAGCAACAGTCCACAGTCCATACACATGTCTTGTAGAAGCAGCGTCTTGTACACAACGTTCACAGCAACAGTCCACAGTCCATACACATGTCTTGTAGAAGCAGCGCTTTGTACACAACGTTCACAGCAACAGTCCACAGTCCATACACATGTCTTGTAGAAGCAGCGTCTTGTACACAACGTTTACAGCAACAGTCCACAGTCCATACACATGTCTTGTAGAAGCAGCGTCTTGTACACAACGTTCACAGCAACAGTCCACAGTCCATACACATGTCTTGTAGAAGCAGCGCTTTGTACACAACGTTCACAGCAACAGCCCACAGTCCATACACATGTCTTGTAGAAGCAGCGTCTTGTACACAACGTTCACAGCAACAGTCCACAGTCCATACACATGTCTTGTAGAAGCAGCGTCTTGTACACAACGTTCACAGCAACAGTCCACAGTCCATACACATGTCTTGTAGAAGCAGCGTCTTGTACACAACGTTCACAGCAACAGTCCACAGTCCATACACATGTCTTGTAGAAGCAGCGTCTTGTACACAACGTTCACAGCAACAGTCCACAGTCCATACACATGTCTTGTAGAAGCAGCGTCTTGTACACAACGTTCACAGCAACAGTCCACAGTGCATACACATGTCTTGTAGAAGCAGCGCTTTGTACACAACGTTCACAGCAACAGTCCACAGTCCATACACATGTCTTGTAGAAGCAGCGTCTTGTACACAACGTTCACAGCAACAGTCCACAGTCCATACACATGTCTTGTAGAAGCAGCGTCTTGTACACAACGGTACACAACGTTCACAGCAACAGTCCACAGTCCATACACATGTCTTGTAGAAGCAGCGTCTTGTACACAACGTTCACAGCAACAGTCCATGTCTAGAAGCAGCGTCTTGTACACAACGTCACAGCAACAGTCCACAGCAGCATGTCTTGTACACAACGTTCACAGCAACAGTCCACAGTCCATACACATGTCTTGTAGAAGCAGCGTCTTGTACACAACGTTCACAGCAACAGTCCACAGTCCATACACATGTCTTGTAGAAGCAGCGTCTTGTACACAACGTTCACAGCAACAGTCCACAGTCCATACACATGTCTTGTAGAAGCAGCGTCTTGTACACAACGTTCACAGCAACAGTCCACAGTCCATACACATGTCTTGTAGAAGCAGCGTCTTGTACACAACGTTCACAGCAACAGTCCACAGTCCATACACATGTCTTGTAGAAGCAGCGTCTTGTACACAACGTTCACAGCAACAGTCCACAGTCCATACACATGTCTTGTAGAAGCAGCGTCTTGTACACAACGTTCACAGCAACAGTCCACAGTCCATACACATGTCTTGTAGAAGCAGCGTCTTGTACACAACGTTCACAGCAACAGTCCACAGCCCATGCACATGTCTTGTATAAGCAGCGTCTTGTAATAGAGTGTACAGATACAATATCTACCTGAAGCATCTCATTGCCTGGCCTGCAGTTGGTCCATATTGTAGAGCATCAATAACAGGCGGGTGTTTTATAGAGCCCATTAGTAGCACTTTATCCGGAGTGAAATACCTTCCTTCTATAATCAAGCTATTAGCAACTGATCAAGCAGCATATCATTGAATGATTCGATGTTTATGTATCTCAAAGCAACATATTCCAATTACCATTAAGACCCTTAACTTCTGCCTGATGCAAATGTGTAACTCTTGAACATATTTGACAGCTGTTGTTTCTGTACACAAGATTATAACTATTGCCTCATTCGATCAATGTTATTGAGTACGCCCGACCACGAGAATCTTACCTGCAGCAGAGTGCATCTGTGCCATAGTTCATGTTACTGTTTAACCATCAAACAAGGATATATTTTAATCCTCATTAACGTCTCTAGATAAACTAACAGTGCCTTTACAAATGCGTGCTACGTACTGGAAATATAGAAAATATCTCCCAAGTGTCTACTGATATCAATTATATCAGCAGGAGTTGATAAAATTGCATGTTTTTAACTTTTAATAACGAGTGTTGGTATATTTGGTATCAGAGGACACTGGGGCGAGATTCTATTTAACATAAACAAATAACTCTTCATTAGTTTTGCCATTAGACTTGAAGCATTGTGACCTCGTCAAGTTTATGATGTCATAGTATTGTGATTCATGCAATTGATGACGTCAAGGCATTGTAGAAACTCTACTGACAAAACGATATCACTTAGGATATATTATTCTCCCCCTCTCTCTATATATATATCTCTTTCTTTATCTCTCTCTCTCTCTCTCTCCCCAACCCCCAACTCTCTCTCTCTCTCTCTCTCGAACACACACACACATCTTCTACATATGTGTATTTGTTATTTCATCCCTATAACAATCAGGGAGAAATGAGTTGCTGAGTACTGAAGACTAGGGTACTCAACACCCACTTGAAAACTTGGTATCGTGCACAAATGTGTTTCATCTCATGACGGCTGTGTACTTGCCCTGTAGTCGTGTTTACATGAAACTGTTTTGAGTCCTGAAATGTTTGTACCAATCCAGTTATGATACTAATAATTTCCTTTCTGATGATGTATGCAAATATACATACACTGGAGTAAACGATTACACGGTCTTGCCTCAGAAACCAAATATTATTTGGGCAATCAACTCTGTGGACATTGCGTGAATGGACCTCTGTCAGTCTGACTAGCATCTTATTTGGCCAATCCATTCCTTCAACATTGCGTGAATGGGCCACTGTCAGTCTGACTAGCATCCATCTTATTTGGCCAATCCACTCCTTGAACATTGAGTGAATAGGCCATTGTCAGTCTGACTAGCATCTTATTTGGCCAATCCACTCCTTGAACATTGCGTGAATAGGCCATTGTCAGTCTGACTAGCATCTTATTTGGCCAATCCACTCCTTGAACATTGCGTGAATGGGCCACTGTCAGTCTGACTAGCATCTTATTTGTCCAATCCACTCCTTCAACATTGCGTGAATAGGCCACTGTCAGTCTGACTAGCATCTTATTTGGGCAATCCACTCCTTGAACATTGCGTGAATGGGCCACTGTCAGTCTGACTAGCATCCTATTTGGGCAATCCACTCCTTGAACATTGCGTGAATGGGCCACTGTCAGTCTGACTAGCATCCATCTTATTACGTCAATCCACTCCTTGAACATTGCGTGAATGGGTCATTGTCAGTCCGACTAGCATCCATCTTATTTGGGCAATCCACTCCTTGAACATTGCGTGAATGGGCCATTGTCAGTCTGACTAGCATCTTATTTGGCCAATCCACTCCTTGAACATTGCGTGAATGGGCCACTGTCAGTCTGACTAGCATCCTATTTGGGCAATCCACTCCTTGAACATTGCGTGAATGGGCCACTGTCAGTCTGACTAGCATCCATCTTATTATGTCAATCCACTCCTTGAACATTGCGTGAATGGGTCATTGTCAGTCCGACTAGCATCCATCTTATTTGGCCAATCCACTCCTTGAACATTGCGTGAATGGGCCACTGTCAGTCTGACTAGCATCTTATTTGGGCAATCCACTCCTTCAACATTGCGTGAATGGGCCACTGTCAGTCTGACTGGCATCCTATTTGGGCAATCCACTCCTTGAACATTGCGTGAATGGGCCACTGTCAGTCTGACTAGCATCCATCTTATTACATCAATCCACTCCTTGAACATTGCGTGAATGGGTCATTGCCAGTCTGACTAGCATCCTATTTTTGGCAATCCATTCTGTGAACATTGCCTGAATGGGCCATAGTCAGTCTGACTAGCATCTTATTTGGGCAATCCATTCCTTCAACATTGCGTGAATGGGTCACTGTCAGACTGACTAG